TCCATCAGTGTGAAACTTTGATCAGTGTAAATCGAAATTACGAAAATTTCCAGAAGGGAGGCCAGCGAACTATTGTTGTGCTACGCGAACTGATACAGCATCGTCATCATTTTTAATTGGTGGCTTGCGGGGCATTCTTCTCTTTTTTATACAAAAATTTCAAAATATTGCGAATTTCTTCATTTTTTTCAATCACTTTTGAAAAGCTGTACCTTTTTTCAACTTCCCCGTTTTTAATTTTTGTTTTTTTGTTTAAATGAAGCTTCAAATCTCACCTTTCCAACACTGTATGGCATGACAAAATGTGATTGAGAGCACTGACGATGTACGACTGCAACGACATCTATTGACAAAATATGAAAAAACTTGCTTCTGCTACAACAATTGCTTGAAGACGCCGATTCATGCTTCGACCTAACACTTCTGTGCCTTTTTTTTTGGAAATCTCGCCTCTCGCGTTTAGCCATCAAAGCTTGTCTAAAATCCTCCTTGGTTGTTTAATGGATCTTGTGAATCTTCTTTTCCCACAAATTCCTAATATGTTCGATGTAAGCCGGATACGGCAGTTCGGGAGGCGTATATGTAGTTCCTTAGTATTTATAGTCCTGTTGAAATATAAAATAGCCATTCTAATCCTAGTTGAAATGCACTTTATTTAAGATGATTTCCAGCGCGGGATATTCAAATAAAACTGATAGTTCACTTCAAAATCAAATTTTTTTGCGACTCCTACTGTGGCCATACACCCCCACACCATCACGTTTACATGTCTGTGTTTAACAGTTTGAGTTAAATTTTGTATATTTAAGGGTGCATTGGGTTTTCTTTATAATTTCTGAGCGCCATCTGAACTAAAAATATTGAATTCTGGTTCGTTATTATATACCTTGTTATCCCAAAGCGAGCCCGGTTTATTAAAGTATTGTTTTGCTAACGGAATAATAATATTTCTGATTTCAGCAGAGATATATTTTTGTGGAGCACATTTCAAATCGTTTGGGGTGAGGTGCTTAATACTTCATTCTTTATTTGTGGTGTCAATTGCCTGAGGTCTGCCAGCGTTATACCCAGGACACTATTATATATGATATTATTTTATATAATAATACCCAATGATTACCCTTCTTCCGCCCAACCGACGCGAGGAGCGCAATCCGCGAACGAGCGGAAATAGCCGAGTCATAAAAGGCAAGAGAGTTTTAAGCGTTGCGATTTTAAGCTGCTACAGCAACAAAAACAAAAATTTCAACAACCAAAATTTAGAATTAAAATTAAAGTTTATAATTTCTTTAAATGTTACTTGTTAAGAGTGGATAAAATAATTTTTTTAATGGTAAAGAGTGAGTCTGTTAGATCAAATGTGCTGGAATGAGAATTGAAATCATGACATATGCGGCGGAATGGTTCGTTTAGCTCAAAATTTATTCTAGAAAATTTTAAAAGTAAGGGTCTAAGCTGCCTTTACATTAAATATTCATTTAAAAATAAAATATAAAAAAATTTTACAAAGTAACTTGCTTAATTTAGATACTTTATTAATCTATCATAAATATTCTATAAGAAAGGTATTAATGTGTGAGTTACTTACCTTCTCCTCACAAAAAGATATTTTTCGGATGAATTTTGTACTTGTACTTTCTTTATGATAACAAATATTCGACTTCAAGTTTGCCAAATTTCTGAGAATAACGAATCGAACAAACAACTGGTCTAATCAGTGATACCGGCATAAAAATTGCAAACAATTATAACACTCCTGTGATTTGTAAGGATATTTATCCACACAACAAATTATCTTAAATTATCTTTAATTATGTAATTTCCCATGTAATTTTTTTCGAAAGAGCATACGATTCAAGCTTACCGAGCATATTAATTTATTTTTGTACATCAAAATTTCTACTTTAAATCGATATCAAAACAAATTAGTAACTGTTAAATTTAATTAAAGTTTTCGATGTTAACGTTTCCCTTTACATGATAAACGGATATCGTTACCTAAAATGCAAAACAACGTATCAGCACAAAAATCGAAATTAAGTTTTTTATTGCTTACAGACAACTTGACCTGAATTAGTTTTAAGAAACTGTATCAAAATCAATAATAAATTTGTTTCTTCAAAATAGCATATTTTTTATACCACTAAATACCAAAACAGTTTGCTTCAGTTTTCTAAATAAAAAAAAACTCTGCTTACAAGCTTATCATTATTACAAGCGATCCTAAAAGTGATACCTCTTACTCAGGCATTGATATTTCATTCACCTGTGGCGTACAGCCTTCAGCACATTCTTAATACAATAATAGCAGAGTTAGAGCAGAGCTCTTATGCTAAGTCATCGATGCTCAACTAAATGTTTTTGCTTGGCACAAGTACTTAATCGCTGATCTGCCTTTTTGATTTTTTCGCAAATAATCACTTTCAATTTCAACAACGCATAATCGGCGAATGTGGTTTTCAAAATCATCGCGAAGTAAGATGACAAGTGCTGATGCAGCACAAATGCATGCGTAATGCGATTCTTATTCAGATGCATATGTATCTATAGGTACCCTGTAGAGATTTTAAGACTCTAATTTAATTGTGAAGTTACTTGAATTCTGATCAGTTGATTTTGCCAGTAGCGCATAGCCAGCCAGAGCGAATGTCGCTAGGAAAACTCGAACTATTTACATACTCTTTGGTTCATATACAATATTTTTTATTTTTTTTTTTTCTAGTCTCTGAAATTGTACATCGCTTACCAACAATAAAGTATTACAATATCCATCTCTAATCTCAAACTAAACTTTAAATACTGTGTAGAAAAACACACGATGATTTTCTCACAGTCATAAACTATTCAACACACCACAACATCTTGATGCCCACTTGCACCAACTACATACTTACCAGCAACTTATCACTTGTAACTGTCTGAACATTTGTTTAAATCGTTGACAAATTGTGTCATTATATGTGATAAACTTTAAACGAAAGAAACATACGCACGCATGCGCAATGACTTTCAATAAATTTGCAAAGAATTCTTTTTCGCTGCTCCTTTTTGCCAACAAACACACTTGAGTACCCGCGTAAGTGTGAGAGCCATATTTATTATGCCTCGATTTCAAACGCATTTCAAGGCATTACGAAGCAGTGAAGGAATACATTTAATTTGCACAGAATGACTGCGCATGTGCGCACCTAAATCACAATTTAGCAATGCAAATTTCAGCACAATTGAATTTCAAGAACTATACATACATATGTTTTACAATTATTTATATTTATATGCGTGCTGACATATGAATATACGTATGTACGGTATACATATACTTATGTATAAGTGAGCATATGTATAACTTGTTGGCTGTAAGAATTAAATATGTCAGAAATTATATTATCCGAAAACAAAGCACTTAAGGGTATACTTTTTGGTAATCCCCCTTTAAAATGGATATATGGTACTATTCAACTTAGCAACACCATTTTAATGATACCGGTTTGAAGTGCTAAACGTACTTTGTGAATTATTGTTATGTACTTAGTTAGAGACACTCTACTAAAAAGCAAAGATTTTATCTTTAAGTCTGCCACTGCTGCAGTGTTTCTGATCTTCTCCGTGATTGAAATAAAAAAAAACAAAAAAAAAACAAAATTTTTTTTAAATTATTTCCTTCAAAGAAGCTGTGGATTTTGTGTGATCATTATTTACTTGAAAATTTCGTCAGACTCAGTTGACGTTGTAGGTATAAAGCAGTTATAAACCACTTGCTTCCAATAATATCGCTGTTGGAGTATTGTGGATCTGCGATAGTAGAAAATATCATGACTTCGGTAACAGTATTTCAGAAGCAGAGGTTTGTTTAATTTTTTTTT